GCATAACAATCAATATTGCATATTCCTTAAGTCATAGGCATGTACATACTCAATGCAACTACATATCATATAAGTAACTACATAATTTAACTTTATGATAAGTCTTATTAACAATAAACATGAATAAGAGTACCTTTCAACATAATCAAAGAAAGGCAAATAATCATGAACCGCTATCAAGTCAGCAAGTGCAATGACCAAGTAAAGCCTCATAACCTTACTAAATCAAGTAACCCAACAAGAATCATGACAAACATTCAACTTCACATAACATAGTATTTAAGATCACACATCATCTTACGTTAACCATATAGACCAACATATATGCATAAGTGAAACTAGTGATCATATAGTATCCACAATATGCAAGTTCATCATAAACATGTTATATAACATTATAAGCATATTCATAAATAAGAACATCCTCCCAAGACTCCCCTCAAGGCTAACTAGTGCAATGCTTATTTAGAGTCCCATACCCCTACCTAGACTAAGCTACCCCTTAGGACATCTTAGTTAGAGTTCAATCCTTTAGTTCATTTTAACTTTTGGGAACATTTTGACCTAACTGACATAGACCACATGAGCTAATGTGGAATCTAGTTTCATACAGCCCTACACCGAAGGAAGGCGGTCTACTTGCCAAGGTAGTACCAAAACATAAAACATAGCAATTACGTGGATCCATTAGATAGTGTTCGTATGGGGAAACATAGTTCAAGTACTAGGAGATACAATTGGGACCTTCTTTATACTATATGCATTATAGTCTCCAATCTTACGAGTACATTAGTGCTCCTACCTTTCATATGTGGGAACGGACACTCCTCAATCTATTTTGCTCGGTGCTAAGCTAGAGTCCCTTTTTGAAATTTCTTTAAGCCTTTATTATCAATCATAGCTTAGTTTACTTCATAGGGTCTAACTCTTGTATAACATTATAATTATCGTAGCTCAATAAGAATTGAATGAGTATAAGTCCATTTATTACAATTCAGATAGGTGAAGTTAGCACATTTACATATATATTCATAATAAGGCACATTGGTAGTCATCAATATCCTTATAACATTTCATCTTAATAAACCTCACAGTCATTGTCAAGAAATTTCAATTCAACATCATACAACCATATCAATCCTAAACAAGGCATACTCATGCACAACATTATGACATAATCACAACTAACCATAGTTTGAAGTGAAGTATAAGGATCACAAGACTTACCAAATCTCCTTCATAGTTCATCATAAAGGTCTTACTATCAACCCATAACTCAACCCAATTAGGGGAGTAACTGTCACGACCCAAAACGAGTCGCGAGTGACACCCACACTTATCCTACTATGTGAGCGAACCAACCAATCTAACCCCAACATTTCAGCCAAAATAAACAGAATAAAATGTGGAAGACTTAAAACTCATTAACGAGATCAATTAAATCACTTCTAAAGTTTATCAATTACTATCCCCAAAACCTGGAAGTCATCATCACAAGAACATCCATTCTCAAATTACTAAAGCTAAGAGTATCTAAGAAGCTAAAACAAATACATGAGATAGTCCATGTCCGAACTTCAAGGACATCAAGACATGAATGAGAGAGAATCCAGTCCGAGCTAGGAACAATAGCTCACCCTGAAATCTGACGTGGTTAAAACTGGCTAGAGTTGCAGTTGAGTTGAAGACGATGGTACGTTTGCTTCACTCTACAAATAACAAAGAAAGAAACATACAAGTAGGGGTCAGTACAAGCACAAGTACTGAGTAGATATCATCGGCCAACTCAAAATATAAAGCAATATGCATCAAATAATATCATAAAATCAACTACAATACTCAACAGATAACAACAGCAAGTACCACAACAATTGGCCACAACCCAAGCGCATCTATGAGGACTCACGCCTCCACACCATACTCATTTGGGAAAAGGTTCTTTAAGTTTTGAGTATATTAAGATAATTCAAGATTCATTCTCTTTATTCCTCTTGTGTAGGAACGTGACACTCCGATCCCCTAATACTACGTGTCGGTTCGTGACACCCGATCCACTAATACTATGTGTCGGTTCGTGACACCCGATCCCCTAATACTACGTGTCGGTTCATGACACCCGATCCACTAATACTATGTGTCGGTTCGTGACACCCGATCCCCTAATACTATGTGTTGGTTCATGACACCCGATCCACTAATACTATGTGTCGGTTCGTGACACCCGATCCCCTAATACTATGTGTCGGTTCGTGACACCCGATCCCGTAATATTATGTGTCGGTTCGTGACACCCGATCCCCTAATACTATGTGTCGGTTCATGACACCCGATCCACTAATACTATGTGTTGGTTTGTGACAACCGATCCCCAAATACTATGTGTCGGTCCGTGACAACCGATCCATTAACCTCATTCTTTGAGTTTATCAAGCCTTCTTTTATACCAAGGCATCATCATTAATAGAGAGGTTTTAAGGTTTAAGATTCAACAGCCTCATCATGCTAATTCAGCACAATTACATAATCACATCATGCAAGCACACATAAGCATTTAGAAGACTTTACAATACTACCCAATACATATCATTCGCTATTAAGAGTTTACTATGAAATAGCATAAACCATAACCTACCTCCACCGAAGAATTCGCGATCAAGCAAGCTATCTCCCAAAACCTTTTCTTTGTTCTTCGTTTTCTCTCTTCTCTCGATCGTTCTCTCTCTCTTTCTGTCTCTTTCCTTCTTTTTCCTTATTCAAACTCTTTTTCTTTTACCCTAATTACCATATAATTAAGTATAAAAGATGGTAAAAGTAACCCACTAATTAATCCAAGGTTGTCTCCTTTAATCCCCAAGTAATTGAATTATTAACATTAAACCCCTAACTTTATAATTATAAGTAGGAATAGTCCAAAACGCCCCTTAAAATATTTAACAAAAATCTGACCCAGTCAGGGTTAGGCAGCCTGTGACGGCCCGTCGTGCCTGTGACGGTCCGTCCTGCTGCTTCCGTCACAAAGTCCAGAGACTGAATTTCACTAAAGGGCCTGTGACGTTCTGTCGTGGCCACGATGGTCCATCCTGCCATGTCGTCGTGAAGTTCAGAGAGTTGTTCTCAGTACCAAAATTTTCAGAATCTAAGTGTTTTGGAACGAGACCCCCACGACGGTCCGTCGTGCCCATGACGGTCCGTCGTGGGATCCGTCGACCCAGACAATTATTACCAGAAATAAACTCTACTGCTCAAAACGACTAACTGGTCGTTACAGTAACATCATCACAAACAAGGCCGATTGCATCACTATAACACAATTCAACACTAGATCGTAGCTTAAGACAAGATACATAGGTCAATTTCACAATATACTTCATAACTTAAATCGACATCTCAAAAAATAGCATAATACGCTTAGAATTCATCTTAATCTATTTATAATAACATCATAGGCTAGTAATTAAATAAATAACCAAGTCAGTTGATTGATCATTAAACAATATATGTTAAGATCACAACCTAGGGTTAAGAGTTGAGGATCATCTTTTACAATTTAGGACAAACCATCATGAATTATCATAATCAAGTTAAAATAAATGTTAATCTATTCATTATATCCTAAAGAAATCATAAACAACTTAGTTCATAACATAAATTTGAGAAGATGAAACCTACTTGAAAACTCAACTTTTGGAAATACATTGTAGGAGACCTTTGAGGAAAGAAGTCTGATAGGTGAATTAAATCCAATACCTCAATGTTTGATGAATATTTGATGGTGAAATCGTCCCTTTTAAGCCCCCTAATCCCTACCCTAGCTTGTCAATCCTAGGGATAGGATACTTTTTCATAATAGTGACTTTATTGAGTTGGAAATAATCAATACACATTCTTAAGGACCCATATTTCTTCTTCACAAACAAAATTGGAGCACTCAATGGAGAAATACTAGGTCTAATGAAGCCTTTGTCTAGTAAATCTTTGAGTTGAGCCTTCAACTGTTTCAATTCGGTCGGAGTCATTCGATAAGAAGGAATTGAAATGGGATTCGTATCCGGCAGGAAATCGATACCAAAATTAATTTCCCATTCTGGAGGAATACCGGAAAGATAATTATAAAAGACCTCTGGAAATTCACTCACTACGAGGACAAACTCAATGGAAGGAATTTCGGAGTCTAGATCTTTGACTCGTACAATATGGTATGGACAACCATTAGAGATCATTTCGCATGCTTTTAGACAAGAGATGATACGACCTCTAGGAATAGAATTTCCAACCTTCCATTCTACTACGGGTTCATTTGAAAAGTTAAATTCCACCACCCTTGTCCTACAATCAATAGAGGCAAAGTAAGCATGCAACAAATCCATACCCAAAATAATATCAAAATCAAGCATACTGAGTTCTACTAGTTAAACATAAGAAACTCTATTGGGCAACATTATTGGACAATTTCTATACACCCTTGTTGCAACAACCGACTCACCCACCGGCGTAGACACTATAAAAGGTTCATGTAAAATATCGGGGAAAATATCAAACTTTTTGGAAACTAGAGGGGTAACAAATTATAAAGTAGCACCGGGATCAAGTAAGGCATATACATCAATAAAGAAGACTTTCAACATACTTGTCACCATGTTGGGAGAAGTCTCTTGCTCACCCCTTGAGCAAAGAGCAGAAAAGCGGTTCTTCTTTGGACCCTTATTTGAACCACTTTCTTGAGAATGACCACTACCCTTGACTTGACCCCTCACATTAGGACAATCCCTAACCTTGTGCCCACTTTTACCACTTCTTGCAACACTTTCCACAAGGTGGCTTTCGGTTGGTCAACTTGTGTCATTTCCCTTCTTAGGCTTAGGTTTAGATACCATATCACCACTATTATTAGGGGACTTGGAAGGAACTTGATTATGAACCCGCTTTTTAAATCTAGGCTTGTCTTGTATCTCAAGCCGATATGAAGAACCTCCATCAAAAGATCTTATCCTCTTAGCATCTCATCTCTTCCTGATATCTCTTGCCTCTTTCACATGATTGGCATGCACCACAAGTTGAGAAATGTTCATTTTTTCATGTAGCATAGCCGAATGACAGTCCTCTTGCAAATCATACGACACCCCCGTCACAAAGCAAATTATTTCATCTCTATGATCGGAAACCAAAGAAGGAGCATATTTTGACAATTTAGTGAATCTCAAGGAATATTCATGAACACTTATACCTCCTTGGGGAAGGCTAATGAACTCCACCACTTTAGATTCCCTCATCTCCCTAGGATAGAACCAATCAAGAAAAGCCTTCTTGAAGATCTCCCAAGTCACCGAACCGCCTCTTAATGGCCTATTATCCCTCCATTGGACATAACATGCTTGAGACACATCCTTGAGTTGATAAGTGGCTAACTCGGCCTTCTCACTTTTGGATAACCCCATATCCAAGAGTATCTTATAGACTTCATCAATGAACTCTTGGGGGTCTTCTTCAACCATAGACCCGTAGAAAGTAGGAGGGTTCATCCTAGCAAAGTCCCTTAGACGGGAGGCCATGGTAGCCACTTGTTGATTAGGATGGGGTACGACCACTCGGTTAGCTTCGGACGTCATAGCTTAGGCTTGAGTAGTGGCAGCTTGTGCTTTAATAGTAATGGCTTGGACTATTTGAAAAACAGCGGGACTTATATTCTCATCCGTCAAAGGAAGAGGATTCATAGAAGCTTGGTTATCATTTTCACCTTCCTCAAGAGGAGGAACTTGATAAACATGGGGAGGAGCTCCCTGTTTGGCAATCTCCTCTTAAAGCCTTCGTGCCACATTTATTTGAGTGTTCATTTCCCTATAATCACAACAATAGGATTAGATGCAAAAGTACACCATGAGTATACTCTAATGGCACGATATTGGATTTCCAAAAAAGTGAGATCTTCTTAGGCATCACCTAAGTTCATATCCATTAGTGTGGAGCGCTTCACAATTATGAACATAAACTTACATAGACGTGGTTGAGAGAGACATTGACTCAAAGATAACTCAACCTCATGCTCTGATATCAAGTTTATCACATCCGGGTTTACGCCCTAGATGTAACTGGCATCGTCTTCCTCTTTGAGGACTAAGACTAGCCTCCTAGTCTTACATTATTACATTCATAGGTCAAATTTAGCAAAAAATTTAAACTTTTAATTACTTCCACTTAGAGGTTTACATAAACCACAACATACACATAACATATATATATCAAGTATACATAGACCCTTCGTATAGGAGTGTTACATAGCCTTCTTGTTATGTTGCACATAATTATATATATAAGATAGAACATAGTCTTCAAAGATTATCTCATCTCATAACCATCTAAAACGACCATAGAAATTTCAGCATAGTCGTACATCAATGTAAAGAAGCCAGATATGGGCTTATACAAATCATACATTAATGGGAATAGAACGAACATAAGAGTCTTTAGATTAAACAACTCCATAAGCTAGATAATGGCATCTCCCTCGGACAATAAGGACCTACCCTAGTTGTATAATCAAAGTATCCAAGCCTTCTTCAAGTCGCCTTTCAAAACACTTCAACGGCCGAAACCTATAATAATGGGGGAAAAGGAAGAAATGGAGTTAGTACGCCACTTATACTAGGTATGACACCCTATGCACACATACCTTGAAATCATGCTAAGAAAAAAATATTTCATAAAATATGAACTTTTCAATCCTTATGCACATTGAGCAAAACCATAACAATCAATATTACATATTCCTTAAGTCATAGGCATGTACATTACAAATACTACAACATCAAGTCTAGTCAAGTCAACCATACATATCATATAAGTAACTACATACTCAGTGTAACTTTATCATCAAGTCATATTAACAATAAACATGAATAAGAGTACCTTTCAACATAACCAAAGCAAGACAACTAACTATGAACCCCTATCAAGTCACAAGTGCAATGAACAAGTAAAGCCCCATAACCTTACTAAATCAAGTAACCCAACAAGAATCATGACTAACATCGAACTTCAACAACATAACAATTAACATCACACATCATCTTACGTTAACCATATAGACCAACATATATACATAAGTTAAAGTAATCATCATATAGTATCAACAATATGGAAGTTCATCATAGACATGTCATATAGCATTATAGGCATATTCATACATAAGAAAATCCTCCCAAAACTCCCCTCAAGGCTAACTAGTGCAATGCTTAGGTAGAGTTCCATACCCCTACCTAGACTAAGCTAGACCCCTTAGACATCTTAGTTAGAGTTCAATCCTTTAGTTCATTTTACCTTTTAGGAACATCTTGACCTAATTGACATAGACAACATGAGCTAGTGTGGAATCCAGTGTCATAAAGCCCTAACCTAAAGGAAGGCGTACTACTTGCCAAGGTAGTACAAAAACATAAAACATAGCAACTACGTTGATCCACTAGCCAGTATTCATATGGGGGCAACATAGTTCAAGAACTAGGAGATACAATTAGGACCCTCTTTATGCTATATGCATTGTAGTCTCCAATATAGAGAGTAAATTAGTGCTCGTACCTTCCTTATGTGGGAAGGGACACTCCTCCTTCTAGTTCACTCAATGCTAAGCTAGAGTCCCTTTTTGAAATGTCTTTCAATCATACCTTAGTTTTAGGTCATATGGGTGTACCCCTATTATAGTTATAGTCATAGCTCAAAGATAATTCTTGAGTATTTTCATTTCAATTACAATTCACACATGTGAGTTTAGCACATTTACATCACTATATCATAATAAGACACATATGCAAATCATCATCAGCCTGTATCATTACATCTTAGCAAACGAATCACAAGCCATATATCAAGACATTCTAATTAAACATCATACATCCCTAATTAATATCATTATAAGGTATACTTCAATACATGATCATCATTAACCACAAGTAATCATAATTGAAGTAAATGTTTGAGATCACAAAGACTTACCCCATCTCCTTCAAAAGCCATCATCCAATGTTTACCATCAACCATCCAATACAACACAACAATGGTTTTAATATAATCACACAATATTAATTAATACAATAATGAATTCAATTGAATCATTACACATCAATTCATCACTAGTTCATAATCTAGGGTTAGGGATTTAGGTCAAATTCATGATCTTCTTCACAAACTAGGTTAATTCATCAAGAACTAGCATAATTGAATCATAGTACATCATACTCTTATCATAATCATTTAAATAAATCATAAACGAAGAAAATAAAAAGATCAAATTCGTATTGGAAACAAGCCCATATGAAACCATCTTTTTGAGAACCAATTTCGGAAGAACCCTTTGGTGAAAAGAATCCCAAAGGTGAAAGGATCACATACCTTGTTAATTGATGAATACTTAAGGAGAAAATTAGTCTTATTGCTTCCCTATAACCCTCCTTTAATTGGTCTTCTATGGAGTTTCTTTCGGAGAGAGAAAGAAGAGCAATCGGGTTTTGGGAAATATGAGAGTTGGGTTAGTTTAATTAGGTTTAGGTCTTTATATAAGTCATTAAATAACTTAATAAGACCTACATTAGAAACCTACTAATTAAATAACAAACTAAAATTAAGTTAGTGGAATAACTTAAAACATTACAGCAACTAGTGACCCTAACCTATGAGACCGCGACCTACGAGCCGTAGGTCAGTCAACGGACCTTGAGACTAACCAACCTGCTATTTGACAAATGAAATCTTCATGAAAATGACTAAGTGACCATCAACTCCTGGTCAATCAGGCCATGCCTCGAAGCCTGCAACCGTCAATGGCTATTATCTCAAGACAGTTTTTAGCCACAATGCAAGGAAGCTCCTCAAGTACCCTTTGATTGGTCCTTGGGGAGTCTTCCCTGGACTTTTTGACCCTAAACCAACTTTAATACGTATTAGACACCTTATTATGAAATTCCATCAACATTCTGACTGCTTAAACCTAGTCATTTAGGCTAAGGCACACAAGCACCTCTTGAACTAGTTTCCGGATGTCATGGATGTTTCTTGACGCTTTGATTCTAAAACTTCCTAAATGACTTATATACATTATATATGACCTTAAAACAGTGTTACAACCTTTATACACTCGTGTTAGGCTCTAGATTAGATCTTGGACTTCAAAGTGTTACAATATCCAACTTAACTAAAGTACATTTTTGTCACGACCTGACTTCCCTAATTACGATGACACCTAATACAACCCACTAGTAGGTAATAGAATATGTACCCAAAATGACACTTAACATGGCAGTCTACCGTGAACGCGGATGAGACATTGGTTAGAATCTTTATTGTCGATGTAACATTGTTTTCAATTAGGTTACTAGATTCGTGATTGTCATCTAATTTGTATGGGAGAGTTGTAATGACCCTTATTGTCATTTTTAGTGTTTTATCTTCTGTACATCATTTAGAGCGTTCCTATAGCAATTCCAAGTCATTTATGACTTGCTGGGACTGACAGATCGGTCACCTGGTCATTCGTTTGGTTATTGTGTGAGTTTAGTATTTTTGGAGCTTATGAACCTTGAACGATCATTTTCGATCAAAAGATCAAGAAGATGACATCAGAATCCAATTCTGACGATTCCATCAGTTCCGGAAGGGTCATTTTAGTCTAGTAGCATTGTTGACATGACTCCTAAAGTTTTCAGTGTGAGTTGGTGGGATTAGGCGTTTTAACTTTATGTTTAAAGGCTAAGTTTGACATTAGTCAACATTCTGAGTAAACGCGCTCGGATGAGAATTCTGTCAGCGCGGTTAGCTCCGGAATGTCGAGTTTGGTCTAGTTTGACCCTTCTTTCGGGTTTTGAGGTTTTTGATATTTTTCCGAGCCCTTTTGTGGTTTTTGACTTAAAATGGCAATGGAAGTGGGACCCACATTTTATCGAGATAACCTCTGATGAAAATTTCGACTGCGCCTTTGAGTCCGGAATGTCGACTTTGGTAGGGTAGCATATCTATTTTATTTTTATCAGGTTCTGAACGAATTCCGAGCACCCGTCGAAGACTTTAAAGAAAGTAGGCAAAGCTGAATCTGGTGCAGCCTCTATAAAAACCCAACTTTCAGCTTTATATCTTACGTTAGAATCTTGATATCTTGACTGTACAACTCCAAATTGGGCGATTCAAAAGGCTAAGTTGTGAGATTTTTCGAGGGCAACGCATTGGTGAGCTTGGAATCTGATTTGGGGACCCGATTTGAGGAAAATTTTGGGTTTTAACTGCTGTCTAGCTCATTTTCGAGCACAAGTTTTGGAAAATTTTAGAAGGTGATTTCTTGGTCATTTTAGGTCCGAATCAAGTGATTCAAGAGCCTATATTGTGTGGTTTTTTGCGAGGATCATCGTGGTGTGGTTGGTTTTGGCTGTTGGAGCTTCATTTTTGGTAAAATCTTTTAAGTAGCTGCTGCCATAGTTGCTGATTTTTAGCTTAGAATTTGGGTTCTTTTTTTGCATGTTCATGTTGGGACTGTTTTGAGTCCTGAATTATGCTCCATTCTGGTATACAAGTTTCGAGAGTTATTTAGGACTTTTATTTGGGGTTAATTCGGGATTTCTCAACGCGGATCCCACTTTTTCCATTTTTGACCATGAAATTGACCCGTCTCCGTTTCTTGCGATTTTAGTGTATCAACGTTTCGAGGCCTTTTAGAAAGTAAAAGATCCGGGGAGTAAATTTTGGAGCGCGCGTGATCTGCGTTCAGGTAGGCTATGGTTTCTCTTCTTAGATTGAACTCGAACATGTGAATGCATGTTGATTAGTTGGGATTTGGGTTGGGTAGTTATTGGATCATCCATAGGTGTTATGAATCATATTTTCGCCCTTTTTCTGAGAATTATCGGGTAACTGTGAGCATGTTTATTGTTATTAATTGACCTTCTTTACTATATGAATTATTTGTATGTTTGAATACTACTTGTCAGAAGTATGTTGGGCCTTAGTTTAGGTTTGACTAGGGTTTTCCTTAGAAATGCATGATTCAAAGTCGGTAGGACTTAGTTTAGCCCCGACGTCGCTCGGCCGACTTAAATCCTTGTAGACTGATGTAGCAGACTTGAGTCTGATAGTTGGGTATTTAGAAAGACGATGAGCATGCTCTAGCGATAGTTACTCTTATTTCTTCGATGTTACGGCTTCTTGAGTTACGTCAGTGTCAATGATTTCCACTCCATGATTCCAAGTTGAGTTCGATTCAGCTTTAATGACTTACATTGATTACCTAAGTCTGGATGGTGTTCCACGGGTTTATATGATTATGGATAGATAAAGACTCTTTCAGCAGCTATATCGATATCTTTGTCGGGTATCCGGATTTAAGGTCCGGCCTCGAACATCCACATACTTATGTAGAGCATCCGGTTAGAGGTCCGGCCTCAAGTATGTAGAGCATCCGGTTAGAGGTCCGGCCTCAGTTACTTATATTTTGCAATTGGCTACTTGTGTAATTCTGGTGAGTGTCCGGTTCAAGGCCCGACCTCCGTACCGTCAGATTTTTACTTTTTGGTTCATTGTTCTTTGGCCTTGAGTTTTATTCTCCTTAAGTTATAGTTATTTTGTGTACTCGTCGGGCTTATGGGGGTCCGTTCGGGTTTTTATTTAAACTTGTGCACCAGTGTATTTTCTGGGCTTATGGTGGGTCCAGTTAGGTGTAGTTAGCTTATTTATATTAATTTAGTTAGATTTTTATACACTCGTGTGCATTATTGTGTTACTTAGCCTTCTGTTCTTGACCTCTAGTTTTGTGATTCCGTCTTTTCATACTGCTTTACTTTTCTAGTTCAGTCGGCCTATGATGCCTACTGGGTACCTGTTTTTTTTGGTACTCATGCTACGCTCTGCATCTATTTTCGTGATGCAGGTCCGAGCACCGGTAGTCAGCGTTGATGGAGACAGGGGTGAGCACACAGCATTTTGTACTATTTCAGTCTCCATCTGTTTCTATAAAGATTTGTCTTTTACTTTTCGAGACAGTCTAGTTTCGGTGGTCCACTGTTTGGACTTGTACTCATTTTGTTGGTAGCTCTGTATTAGTGACTTCCAGGTTCTGGGAGGGATCCTTTATTGTATTTATGTTTTGGTTTCCCTATGTTGTTATAGTAATTTTTCTTAGTCTTGTTTAGTTTCTTCTACCCTCACACCCAGTATGTGTGGTTTTGGGTTGTGGTTTGGCTTACCTACTGATGGATTATAGTAGGTGCCTTCATGGTTCGAGAAATTGGGTCGTGATAAGTTGGTATCAGAGCCCTAGGTTCAACGGTCTCACTTTTACAGAGCTAACGTCTAGTAGAGTCCTGCGGATCGGTGCGGAGACGTCCGTAACTTATCTTTAGGAGGCTACAGGAAGTATTTAGGAAAATATCCATTTTGTTTCAAATTCGTGCCGCGTGTGTCTTGTTTGTTTCTTAAAATCTCAGTTGTTCCACTCTATTACAGGATGGCTCGCACGCGAGGCGGTGCGTTCGGGGTAGATGCACCTGGAGCCTCAGCTTGGGGTAGACGTCGACCACGAGGTCGAGGTAGGGCTGCAGTACCTACCCGGGATATGGAGGAGGAGCCTCATGCAGCGCATGTACCGCCACAGCCAGTGGGGCCGGGGCCTGCCCAGCCACCACCCGCACCAGTTGCAGCACCTGATCTTCATTCCCTCTTGACTCAGATATTAGCAGCTATTGGGGATATGCGACAGGCACCAGCACCAGCAGTACCAGCACCAGTGCTGCAAGATCAGCCGCCACCAGTTCATGTGGCTGCCCCACAAGACTTAGAGGTTACAGAGATGCCACTGCGGGATCAGAAGATGCTTGGGGTATTTCAGAGGTTGGCACCGCCTATATTCTTAGGGGCGATTGGAGAGGACGCTCACGAGTTCCAACTCACTTGCCAGGAGCAGTTACAGTCATTAGGCCTTTTGGAGTCGAGAGGAGCTGACTTTACCGCTCATCAGTTCCGTGGGCCAGCCAGGCAGTGGTGGCGCACGTATCGAGAGTCTAGGCCAGTTGGATCTCCTCCTATATCTTGGAGTGAGTTCTCAGAGGCTTTCTTGGCCCGATTCATGCCACGGAGCGTCAGAGACAGGCTTCGTGATCAGTTCTCTAGATTGGAGCAGGGATCTATGACCGTTTCAGAGTATGAGGCGAGGTTCCATGAGTTGTCTCGCCATGCTACTATGATCCTGCCCACCGAGGGAGAGAGAGTTTGTTGTTTTGTACGTGGGTTGCGATACCCTTTGAGGGTTGACACAGAGCATATGGTTTCAGCTGGCCGTTCTTTTCTTGATGTGGTTGATCATGCCCGATCCATGGAGCATATTCACCATGAGGCCCAAGGGGGCAGCGATAAGAGGGCACGCTACCAGGGCAGCTATAGCGAGTCGCAGACTAGGGGGAGGGACTCATATGATAGGCCACGTCAAGGTTCCAGCAGGGTCAAACCAGTCGGCCTATTCAGGCGGCATTACCTATTTCTGAGGGAGGTCAATATCAGCAGAGTGGTCCTAGTACAGGCCAGAATTCGAGGGGATCAGATTCTTTTCCTCCATGCCGCGGTCGGGTTACTACAGGGCGTTCAACTTCGGGGTGTTATGATTGTGGTGCTCTTGACCATTGGTCTAGAGAATGCCCCCGGCGAGGTCGGGGGGTGATTGTACCAGCTCCACCTACTTCTAAACCAATTTCAGCCGTGTCTTCTTCGGCTAGAGGAGGTGGTCAGATTCAGGACCGTCGAGAGAGTCGACAGGTTACCAGGGGTGGAGCTCGGGGAGGCAGGTCAGGTGGTAGACCGGGTGCACCAGGTAGAGGTGCTCAGGGCCATTTCTACGCTGCCCCGACAAGGGCGGCGGCTGAGGCATCTGACGATGTCATCTCAGGTACGCTCTTCTTGTGCCATCAGCCTGCTACAGTATTATTTGATCCAGGGTCCACATTCTCGTATGTATCTATTTATTTTGCTCCCCGATTGGGTATGAGGTCCGAGTCTTTGGCAGAGCCGGTTCATGTTTCGACCTTGATAGGTGAGTTCTTAGTAGTGGATCAAGTATTGCGATCTTGCTTAGTGACCATCCAGGGTTATGATACTAGAGCTGATCTTATTATGCTAGATATGATTGATTTTGATGTGATTTTGGGCATGGACTGGTTATCCCCATATCATGTGGTCTTGGATTGCTATGCCAAGACTGTTACCTTATCCATGCCTGGTGTTCCCCCGGTATTGTGGCAGGCTGCTTATAGTCACACACCGACGGGGATAATCTCTTTTATTCGAGCTAGGCGGTTGGTTGCTTCTGGGTGTTTAGCGTATTTGGCCCACATCAGAGATGTGAGTAGGGAGGGCCCTTCAGTTGACTCAGTTCCTGTGGTTAGAGAGTATGAAGATGTGTTCCCTACGGATCTACCTGGCCTACCCCCAGAGCGTGACATTGATTTTGCTATAGATTTGGAGCCTGCCACTCGTCCTATTTCTATTCCGCCTTATCGGATGGCTCCTGCAGAGCTCAGAGAGCTCAGTGTTCAGTTAAAGGACCTCTTAGAAAAGGGGTTCATTCGTCGGAGTGTGTCGCCTTGGCGTGCTCCTGTTCTGTTTGTGAAAAAGAAGGATGGGACTTTGAGGATGTGCATTGACTACAGACAGCTGAACAAGGTGACGGTGAAGAACTGTTACCCTATGCCTCGTATAGATGATTTGTTTGATCAGCTTCAGGGTGCCGTCGTATTTTCTAAGATTGATTTGAGGTCCGGATACCATCAGCTAAGGATTAGAGCAGCAGACATCGCTAAGACTGCATTTAGGACTCGTTACGGTGATTATGAGTTCCTTGTGATGTCTTTTGGGTTGACTAATGCCCCAGCCGCCTTTATGGACTTGATGACACGTGTGTTCAGGCCATACCTTGATTCATTTGTTATCATCTTCATTGATGACATATTGGTATATTCGCGGAGCCGGAGTGAGCATGAGCAACATTTGAGGATAGTGCTCCAGACTTTGAGAGATCAGCAGCTTTATGCCAAGTTCTCAAAGTGCGAGTTTTGACTTGCGTCTGTAGCATTCTTGGGGCACGTGGTGTCCAAGGAGGGTATTAGGGTAGATCCGACGAAGATTAAAGCTATTCGTGATTGGGACAGACCCACTTCTGTTACTGAGGTTCGTAGCTTTGTCGGGTTAGCGAGTTACTACAGGCGTTTTGTTGAGGGCTTTTCTACTATTGCAGCTCCTTTGACTCGCTTGACTCGCCAGGATATTCCCTTTGTGTGGTCGGAGGAGTGTGAGATGAGCTTTCTGAAGCTCAAGGAGTTGCTTACTAGCGCTCCTATATTGACTCTTCCGATTGAGGGTGAGGGTTTCACGATTTATTGTGATGCGTCTGGTGTTGGTGTGGGTTGTGTATTGATGCAGCAGGGTCGGGTTATTGCGTATGCGTCGAGGCAGCTTAAGGTCCATGAGCGCAACTACCCCACCCATGACTTGGAGTTGGCAGCGGTAGTTTTCGCGCTTAAGATTTGGAGGCACTACTTGTATGGAGTTCGATGTCAGATCTATACTGACCACAAGAGTCTTCAGTACAACATGAACCAGAGGGACCTTAATTCGAGGCAGCGTCGTTGGATTGAGCTCCTGAAGGATTATGATCTCTCCATTCTCTATCATCCGGGCAAGGCGAACGTGGTAGCAGACGCCTTGAGCCGAAAGGCGGTGAGTTTGGGTAGTCTAGCCTTCTTATTTGCAGGTGAAAGACCCTTGGCTTTGGACATTCAGTTTTTAGCCAATAGCATGGTTCGATTAGATATATCAGATTCTAGACGCGTCTTGGCTTATATGGGAGTTCAGTCTTCTTTGTATGATAGGATCCGTGGTTGTCAATTTGAGGATAAGGCCCTGGGGTCCCTTAGAGATCGAGTTTTAGCGGGTAATGGTGATCAGGCTACCTTAGATCCTGGTGGAGTTTTGAGATTCGCTGGTCGCATTTGTGTCCCGAGAGTTGGAGATTTGATATAGTTGATACTTTCGGAGGCTCATGAGTCTAGATATTATATCCATCCGGGTACAGCGAAGATGTATAGTGATTTGAGACAACATTACTGGTGGAGTGGCATGAGACGAGATATTGCTGACTTTGTTTCTCGTTGCTTGTGCTGCCAGCAGGTAAAGGCTGAGCATTTGAGGCCTGGTGGTGAATTTCAGGGATTACCCATTCCGAAGTGGAAGTGGGATCGCATTACTATGGATTTTGTGGCTGGTCTACCGAGGACTTCTAGAGGATTTGATAGTATTTGGGTCATCGTTGATCGATTGACCAAGTCAGCACATTTCCTTCCCGTTCAATCTTCATTTAGTGCCGAGAGGTTAGCTCGTATCTACATTCGAGAGGTGGTTCGACTTCATGGGGTGCCAGTTTCTATTATATTAGATCGGGGTTCTCAGTTCACGTCTAGCTTTTGGAGGACCTTTCAGGATGAGTTGGGCACCCAGGTTGACCTGAGCACAGCTTTCCACCAGCAGACTGATGGTCAGTCAGAGCGCACTATTCAGGTCCTTGAGGACATGCTACGGGCTTGTGTTTTGGAGTTTGGTGGTCAATGGGACCAGTTCTTGCCTTTGGCGGAATTTGCATATAACAACAGCTACCATTCTAGCATTGAGATGGACCCGTTTGAGGCCTTGTATGGTAGGCGTTGTCGCACTCCAATGGGCTGGTTCGAGTCTACAGAGCCTAGGCCGCGAGGTACAGATTTGATTCAGGAGGCTTTGGAGCAGGTGAGAGTGATTCAGGATAGACTCAGGACAGCTCAGAGTAGGCACCAGAGTTATGCGAATCGGAGGCGTCGACCTTTGAGATTCTCTGTTGGTGATCGGGTATTTCTCCGTGTGTCGCCCATGAAGGGTGTGATGAGATTTGGGAGACGGGGTAAGATTAGCCCCAGGTATATTGGGCCTTTTGAGATACTTCGGACAGTTGGGGAGGTTGCTTATGAGTTGGCCCTACCTCCAGCATTTTCAGCCATCCATCCAGTTTTCCATGTCTCGATGCTACGCCGATATATTCCTGATGAGTCCCACGTGCTCCAGTATGATGCAATTGAGTTGGATGATCATTTGACATTTGTAGAAGAGCCATTTGCCATCCTAGCCAGAGATGTGAGGAAATTGCGCTCAAGAGCCATTCCTATTGTTAAGGTCCGTTGGAGGCATCGTTCAGTCGAGGAGGCTACCTGGGAGACCGAGCAAGAGATGCGAGAGCAGTTTCCCGGCTTGTTTGAGCCTTCAGGTACTTCTTGACCCTTACTTTCGCGGACGAAAGTTCTTTTTAGTAGTGGATATTGTAATGACCCTTATTGTCATTTTTAGTGTTTTATCTTCTCTACATCGTTTAGAGCGTTCCTGTAGCGATTCCAAGTCATTTATGACTTGCTGGGACTGACACATCGGTCACCTGGTCATTCGTTTGGTTATTGTGTGAGTTTAGTATTTTTGAAGCTTATGAACCTTGAACAATCATTTTCGATCAAAAGTTCAAGAAGATGACATCAGAATCCAATTCTGACGATTCCATCAGTTCCGGAAGGGTCATTTTAGTCTAGTAGCATTGTCGACATGACTCCCAAAGTTTTCAGTGTGAGTTGGTGGGATTAGGCGTTTTAACTTTAAGTTTAAAGGCTAAGTTTGACTTTAGTCAACATTCTGAGTAAATGCGCTCCGATGAGAATTCCGTCAGCGCGGTTAGCTCCGGAATGTCGAGTTTGGTCTAGTTTTACCCTTCTTTCGGGTTTTGAGGTTTTTGATATTTTTCCGAGCCCTTTTGTGGTTTTTGACTTAAAATGGCAATGGAAGTGGGACCCACATTTTATCGAGATGACCTCTGATGAAAATTTTGACTGCGTCTTTGAGTCCGGAATGTCGACTTTGGTAGGGTAGCATATCTATTTTATTTTTATCAGGTTCCGAACGAATTCCGAGCACCCGTCGGAGACTTTAAAGAAAGTAGGCAAAGCTGAATCTGGTGCAGCCCCTATAAAAACCCAACTTTCAGCTTTATATCTTACTTTAGAATCTTGATATCTTGAGCTATACAACTCCAAATTGGGCGATTCAAAAGGCTAAGTTGTGAGATTTTTCAGGGGCAACGCATTGGTGAGCTTGGAATCTGATTTGGGGACCCGATTTGAGGTAAATTTTGGGTTTTAACTGCTGTCTAGCTCATTTTCGAGCACAAGTTTTGGAAAATTTTAGAAGGTGATTTCTTGGTCATTTTAGGTCCGAATCAAGTGATTCAAGAGCCTATATTGTGTGGTTTTTCGTGAGGATCATCGTGGTGTGGTTGGTTTTGGCTGTTGGAGCTTCATTTTTGGTAAAATCTTGTAAGTAGCTGCTGCCATAGTTGCTGATTTTTAGCTTAGAATTTGGGTTCTTTTGTTGCATGTTCATGTTGGGACTGTTTTGAGTCCTGAATTGTGCTCCATTCCGGTATACAAGTTTTGAGAGTTATTTAGGACTTTTATTTTGGGTTAATTCAGGATTTCTCAACGCGGATCCCACTTTTTCCATTTTTGACCATGAAATTGACCCGTCCCTGTTTCTTGCGATTTTAGTGTATCAACGTTTCGAGGACTTTTAGAAAGTAAAAGATCCGGGGAGTGAATTTTAGAGCGCGCGTGATCTGCGTTCAGGTAGGCTATGGTTTCTCTTCTTAGATTGAACTCGAACATGTGAATGCATGTTGATTAGTTGGGATTTGGGTTGGGTAGTTATTGGATCATCCATAGGTGTTAAGAATCATATTTTTGCCCTTTTTCTGAGAATTATCGGGTAACTGTGAGCATGTTTATTGTTATTAATTGACCTTCTTTACTATATGAATTATTTGTATGTTTGAATACTGGTTGTCAGAAGTATGTTGGGCCTTAGTTTAGGTTTGACTAGGGTTTTCCTTAGAAATGCACGATTCAAAGTCGGTAGGACTTAGTTTAGCCCCGACGTCGCTCGGCCGGCTTAAATCCTTGTAGACTGATGTAGCAGACTTGAGTCTGATAGTTGGGTATTTAGAAAGACGATGAGCTTGCTCTAGCGATAGTTACTCTTATTTCTTCGATGTTGCGGCTTCTTGAGTTACGTCAGTGTCAATGATTTCCGCTCCTTGATTCAAAGTTGAGTTCGATTCAGCTTTAAGGACTTACATTGATTACCTAAGTCTGGATGGTGTTCCACGGGTTTATATGATTATGGATAGATAAAGACTCTTTCAGCAGCTATATCGATATCTTTGTCGGGTATCCGGATTTAAGGTCCGGCCTCGAACATCCACATACTTATGTAGAGCATCCGCTTAGAGGTCCGGCCTCAAGTACGTAGAGCATCCGTTTAGAGGTCCGGCCTCAGTTACTTATATTTTGCAATTGGCTACTTGTGTAATTCTGGTGAGTGTCCGGTTCAAGGCCCGACCTCCGTACCGTCAGATTTTTACTATTTGGTTCAGTGTTCTTTGGCCTCGAGTTTTATTCTCCTTAAGTTATAGTTATTTTGTGTACTCGTCGGGCTTATGGGGGTCCGTTCGGGTTTTTATTTAAACTTGTGCACGAGTGTACCTTCTTGGCTTATGGTGGGTCCAGTTAGGTGTAGTTAGCTTATTTATATTAATTTAGTTAGATTTTTATACACTCGTGTGCATTATTGTGTTACTTAGCCTTCTGTTCTTGACCTCTAGTTTTGTGATTCCGTCTTTTCATAGTGCTTTACTTTTCTAGTTCAGTCGGCCTATGATTCCTACTGGGTACCTGTTTTTTTTTGTACTCATGCTACGCTCTGCATCTATTTTCGTGATGCAGGTCCGAGCACCGGTAGTCAGCGTTGATCGAGTTTGGAGAATTTCTGGTCTGGAGACAGGGGTGAGCACACAACATTTTGTACTATTTCAGTCTCCATCTGTTTATATAAAGATTTGTCTTTTACTTTTCGAGACAGTCTAGTTTCGGTGGTCCACTGTTGGGACTTGTACTCGTTTTGTTGGTAGCTCTGTATTAGTGACTTCCAGGTTCTGGGAGGGATCCTTTATTGTATTTATGTTTTGGTTTGCTTATGTTGCTATAGTAATTTTTCTTAGTCTTGTTTAGTTTCTTCTACCCTCACACCCAGTATGTGTGGTTTTGGGTTGTGGTTTGGCTTACCTACTGATGGGTTATAGTAGGTGCCTTCATGGCTCGAGAAATTGGGTCGTGACAAGAGTGGATACCACTATTACTTAAATGAGGTTATTTCTTTAATTAGACACGAACAAAGCTTGTTTGGCTAGAAAGTCCAACCATCCCTCATAAACCAATTTGTCATATTCGTGTGGGTGATTGACAGTGGCATTTGTTTAATCTGCACTTACAATTTTCAGCTTTTGTTGCTGTTAGATAGTAATATATTAATCTTCAAAAGATTATGATTTTTTTCTCCAACTGTTGTCTTTTCTAATTTATCACAGAAAATTTTCAAGATGGATCATGCAATGGGGCTCTTGTGCTGGAGTCAAGATTATGTCCCCAGTACTGTTGTTATCCTTTGGAGCTCAGAGAAGGTATTTTGCAAATAATTTTTGTTCCGCTAATTGGAATACTCTCCAATAAAATACATCAAATGCTAGATTAATTGTCCATGGTTTTGTAGATATTTTGGTGAATTCAGCTACTAAGTTCATATCTGGTTATAGTGATCTCATGGCAGGTAAACATTCTTTCCAAGTAGAAAGTTGTTTCCTCTAATTTGCATATATTTCAAAATTTTAATTATTGTTATCTTATTATTGGAAGTTCATTAAAGGTACACTGATTGGAAGTTCTTTTGACCAATTATATGACATTGAAGTTCAATCATTCTTCCTTTTCCTCTTCTAGTTCTTATAAAAATATGATTTCTTTTATATCTAAAAACCATCTATGAACGTTTCAGATATTATTCGGAATACATCTCATCTCAGTCAGACCTGTAATGTCTAGCATAAAATAAGATAAAGGTTCAGA